CGCAACTCAAAGCATCTAAGAACCAACAGAAACACATCATCAATGTCCGGACCGCAGATGTCTCATTCGTTGCAGAGGTCTTGCACGGCGACAATGCAAACACCGGCGGACAATCCGGTGCGACACATCCGCTGGCGAGCGACAGGACCATTGAAGAGGTTATTGCAAGAAACATGGGTTTCATGTCAAGCATTGAAGCACACAAGAAGACGTTGCTGTCCAGTATTGCACAGAGGAGGAAGAGTGAGCGTGAAAGGCGCAAGAGCGCGGTTGGATGCACCGGTGGCAGCGGAAAGAAGAGGAGATTCAGTGAAGGTGTGCATGATGGTGATGCTGACGATGATGAGATGGAAGATCTACTCGTTGCTGTTTTGGTAAAGCTCGGGGTTGATGTAGGACATGCTCGGTCTGGTGGCTGTCCTACGGGTGCTGCTGTTGCTTTTGTCGGTGGCGTCGGTGGAAGGAAGAGTGGTGTCGGAGCAAGAGTCAAAAAAACAGCCGCTTCCTCCTCTCCACAGCAAATTCCTGCCATCATCGTGGCTCTAAAGGCTCTGGTGAAAGATGATCTGGAAAGATTCGAGAACGAGCAACGGGAGACATGTGTTCGAGCAGGTGGATTCTGGAGATATGTTGGGCGGCCTGTGTTTGAGCGGATGACCAAGATTGCAACAGAAGTGGATTGGAAGACGGGGATGATATTGAAGGATATCAACAAGATGGAAATGGAGGGCTGAGTCAAGGAAGAGAGATTGCACCACGATGAGAAAACTGTGTTCAGGAAGATGGAGTCTGAGTGGAAAGGTTTGAGGAGACATGGGTAACCATGGTTGCGATGCATTGGCAGGGGAGTTGGAGATGTGTTTGATTAGTTTTTTCTTTCTCCTTTGATGTTGTGTCTCGTGGTTTCACAGTCAATGCCAGAAGCGGTGGAAGTCAGGCGAGGCTGCCAGATGGTTAGGCAAAAGTTTTGGATAATAGGGAACCAAAAAAAAAGGCGATACGTAGTGAATTGAGTCAAGATATGACAATGATCATACTTCTCTCCCATGTGCTCCTCTCTTGTCCATGGCGCCTGTCTCATTCATTGCGACGGCTTTATCTGCCAGCGTTGCTATCGACGTCGTACAGATAGAATAGACGTTTGCCATCCATATTTAACGTTGACAGGATAGCTCGAATCCATCTGATTGTTGTCCGGCGGGTGGCTACGGTGATCTGAATCGGCGGAAGCGGGAGAATGTGGATGGAGACCATGGCTGCTCCAGCGCCGGATGAGGTTGACTCGGATTCGACTCGGGATGTGCTTGATTTCTTTCTCCCTCCCTCCCTCCCAATCCCCAAGTGCCGACGTTGTTGGATTGTAGGTAGAAGCAGTGGGATTTCACGTGGCTGTACGGAGTATACCTGCCGCGGAGAACATACACCAGTGCCGACGCCGGCAGCACCATCTGTCGGGTTGAGAAGACTCTCGAAGCCCACATCGATCGGCTCTCCTGCTTGCCACCTTGTGGATATGAGGACGTATGTCCTTTGATACCGGGGAATAGCTAGGTCCGTTCCGGCCTTGCGAGGCGGTCGCTCGGGTCCATCATAGCTTTTTTTCTCTTCCTCAATGCTCTGTTTTCCCTCCCCACAGACTGGCGCGGTCGTTTGTGATCTCTTCTCATCGGATCCTGTCCATTTATTTCTCCATCACCCGCCTTCCTTGTCCACCACTTTCGTATCCTGATCCTGGAATCCGAGGATCCTCCCGACCCATCCCCTCGGTTTCGGCACGGGACATTCCCTCGCCGACCTGGCCTCCTTTTCCAATGCGTCTGCCTCGGCTTGCAGTTCCCTAAACAAGGCGGCTTCCTCGTCGAGATTCTTCGTCGTGGCCAGGGCCTGTCGCAGAGCTTGCGGGGCTTTGTGAGGTTGCTGCTGTATTTGCTGCTGCTGTCGTTGATGATCTTCCTCCGCAACTTGCGACGCGCACTGGGCCCCCGATGGCCTCCCCGTGGTTGTTGATTTGGTGCCTTGCTTGACTTGGCGTGGCACAGGTTTCCCGTCCTCGTCCAGCTCTATCCGCCCCGCGTCCGCCGCATATCCCGTGCGCGGCCTCGGGCAGGGAAACACGTGAGGGATGCCCACGACGATGAAGGAGGCGAGGAGTGTACCCGCGAAGAGGGTCGATGTTGCCGTAGAGCGCGGGTGTAGATGAGGTGGCATATTTATTTTCTTTACAGGTCCTCACCTTTGTGCTTTCTGTTGCTGCGTTTGCTGGTGCGGGAGGAGCTCTGGTGTGGTGTGAATCTTCATTGGCCGTTCGCCACGAACCGTACCATAGGCAGGACTGGATAAGGAGGGATCAAATGGACGGGGAGGTTGAGAGCCTAGTAGAGCTGAGCGCTCGATTCGACTCTCGGAAGAAATCGAGGGGAGAAGTCGTCTGAGAAACCGAAGTTACTCTACAAAGGACTCTGTATGCTTGGAGCTTCAACTTTCACAAGCTTCATTTTTGGCGGATGCATTGCGGAGGTCATCTCAATGCCTGAATGCTCCGCCGTAGCTTTGATTTGCCGAAGATCTCCCGAGCTGATCGCCATTGTATATCAAAATCCCATGTTCGGCAAGTCATCGATCACGGTGCGTGATTCATACCGTGCGACACCACGATCAGTGAACGGGACTTGAGAAGTTTGTCCTCTTGCCTGCTGCTTTCAGCATTTGACCACTTAGCGACGGCGACACCTCGATTTCGCCGCCTCGGTCGACATTCGTCGACTCATTCCCTATCTACTTGACGCCATCCCACTGCCACCCAGATTCGGACTCAAGGCACGCATCTCATATCCATGTGCTCTAACACCCGACCCTCCTCCCCATCTGCGCAGCGGTGATGAGCGACCTCGATAAGTAAGTGTGCCTCGGCTACAATCTCTCGCATACTTCTACTGACATATTTGTTTCTTCAGAGCCATTGCGCAGTTGCGCGCGTGTCGCCCCATCCCCGAACCCCAAGTCCGCGAACTCTGTTACAAGGCCCGCGAACTACTCATCGAAGAAGGCAATGTCGTCAGCGTCGATGCCCCGGTCACCATCTGCGGCGACATCCATGGCCAGTTCCACGACCTCATGGAGCTCTTCCGCGTGGGCGGCGACGTCCCAGACACAAACTATCTGTTTATGGGTGACTTTGTGGATCGGGGCTTCTACAGCCTGGAGAGCTTCCTGTTGCTTCTGTGCTTGAAGGTCAGGTACCCGGATCGGATCACCCTTATTAGGGGCAATCATGAGTCGAGGCAGATCACCACCGTCTACGGCTTCTACGATGAATGTATCAGGAAATATGGCAGTGCGAACGTGTGGCGGTATTGTTGTGAGGTGTTTGATTATTTGGCGCTAGGTGCGTTGATTCTGGGCGCGACGACCGACGTTCCACCTCCGACGGGGCCCATGACCTCTTCTATGAACGAGAGCAACACGCAATCCACTCTTCCTTCAGAAGATGACGACCTTGAATCCGAAGTCCTCAACGCCAACGGCGAAATCATCTCCAAAACCCTCCGTCGCCAGTTCGCTGGCCTTTCGATGAATTCCCAACCATCACAAGCCTTTGGTGACGGCAGTCGAATATCTCCCGCTCCGGACGTCGACCTCGCCTCATCTCTTGACGGCTCTCAGTCCTCGCCCAGCCAACCACCTCCCTCGCTCTTCCAACCGCCCACATCATCAACCGGCGCAGTCCTCTGCGTCCACGGCGGTTTATCACCCTTGGTTGAAACGGTTGACAAAATCCGTCTCATCGACCGCAAGCAAGAAGTCCCTCACGAAGGCGCAATGTGCGATCTCCTTTGGTCCGACCCAGACGAGATCGAAGGATGGGGACTTAGCCCGCGAGGCGCAGGGTTTCTCTTTGGCGCCGACATCGTGAGGCATTTCAACCACAACAACGACCTGTCATTGATTGCGCGGGCGCATCAGCTGGTCATGGAAGGGTATAAAGAAATGTTCGACAAGACAATCGTGACGGTATGGAGCGCCCCCAACTACTGCTACAGGTGTGGAAACGTGGCTGCAATTCTCGAGCTGGGCGAGGACGGGTCGAATGGCGGCTGCATACAGAGGGCGAACGGCGACCAAGGTCGAAAAGAACCCGTGGGAGGCGATGGGAGTGGTGGTGGGACCGGTGTACTCTGGAATCTCGCGACCCCGGGGAGGAGATATAGAGTATTCGAGGCGGCGCCGCAGGGAACCAGAGGCATGCCTGCGAAAAAGCCCGTCGGGGAATATTTCTTGTAACATTACCTAGGTATTGCAACATGCCAAAATGTCATGGTTGATACGGCGAGACGCAGGGTCACAGGGTCGTCGGAGCGCGTTCAAGAAAGAGTCGATCCTACAAGTCAGGTAGGCTTCTGCTTCTTTGCGTGCGAGGCGGTGCGATGTCCTTTGGAGATATGCTCTAAGATAGCAGGATACTAAGATACCAAGATGAGGTCGCCGGGAGGCGGATCTCTCGATGAATGGGAATGGGAATGGGAATGAGCACGGACTGCACCCCCCCCCCCAACCGCACGAAAGAAGGTAATTCAATCCAATCCCGCGGTTCGAGCTGAGTCCTGGAGCAGAAAGGGAATTCAGACTCTGCTGGCTCGTCTCGGTCTTGCCATCGCCGCGTCGCGTGGCTGATTCTCTGCCATGTCCATGCTCGTGTATCAGGTATCGGTACCGGGTATCCAATATCAGGGATGAGGTATCAGGAATCAGAGGGATGAGCGACCACGGCGGCGGCCCAAGGGTCTCTTGAGGAAAGAAAGGGACGGACCAAGGTGAGGTGAACTCTGGATATGGGGTGAGGGTTGAGATGGTGAACGGTGCTGTGTGCGCCCGGGTCCAGTATCTGTCCAATCACTCGATCATCCAAGATGTCTCTTCCACCTCAGGGTATACCTAGCCGCTGGGTATATCTAGCATTATCGTTTCAATATACACAAAAAATACAGAATGTCGTCCAGGTCTTATCTCTTGCCCTTCTTGCCACTGGCATTCGACCTACTCTCCTCAATCACCCTCTCCAACATCTCCCTCGCCTGCTTTTCCTTCTTTCTGAACCCACCCGAAAAAGTCGGATGCAGGACATTCGCTGAGTTGGCATGGTCCTCTGCAAATTCCGGACCGCTCCACCCTTTTCGCTGACACAGCGCGATGGCTTCCTCGAGCAAACCTTGACCCACGCCTTTGCGCCGATACCGCCGCTTGACTGTCCATGCGCGTATGTATCCGGTGACCGGCGCATTCTTGCGTGATTTGCCGGCAGAACCAGAAGAATCGCGCACACCACGAACAACGATTGTTCCGATGATATCACCGCCGAATCGTGTCAGTAGGATTTCGTCTTCGGAACCCACGATGCCCTTGTCCGGATCAGCCCGGCCTTCATTCAACCATTTCCAGGTCCCTACTCGCTCAGCCTCGAAAATGTAGCCACTGGTGAGCCAGCGCACGGTAATAAGCACAGCCATGAGGATGCCTGCTGATGTTGTGCCAATAATCGCCCAATCCGAGGAGGCGCCGTTGTAAAGATTTTGATATGCCAAGCCAAGAAGAAGGACTAGTGCCGAGAGAGTCAAAGGATGGAAGATCACAGTGGCCGAGGCTAATTGGCGCTGTTGAGCAACAGAGTCGGCGATCAAGTGCAGCGCTTCGACCTTGTCGTCTTCAGTAGCGGCAAGTTTAGTGCCAAGTTCCGGGAGCGAGTCGAGCGGATCTGCCTGCTTCTCAGGGAGAGCAGCGGCCTCACCTCCGGCCTCGGAGCTTTGCGCGAGAGGAGAGGGAGGAGGCAGGCTGCCGGATGAAGCCATGTCGGTCGGTCTTAAAATGTCTGGCGTGTTGGCTAAGGATGGCGGGGTAGACTCGAGGTCGAGGATGAGATTTGCCCGGAGCGTAGTAAAGAAGGCTGTTGAGAGCGATTGGTTAGAATCATTCATTTCTCTTGGCCGTCTACCTTTGACCATTTGGCTTGAGAATGGGACAAGCAAATTTGGGTCGAGCCCTTACCGGCAGAAATTTTGAAGCCCGGAATACGGTCGCCGACAGCAAAGGCCTTGGTGCGACCTGGCTCCTGGAACAGGACCGCAGAAGGAGACAAATAGACGGCGGATTTGACAGCAAGGAGGGAAGCAGAGGCGAAAGAGAACGGCGGGGTTGGAGGTGGAGGAGGAGGTGAAAGGTAGAGATGTTCAGGAAGTCGAAGATGGTGATGGTTCCTGCCCATCTGGAATCAGTCCAAAAAATATTGCCCAGCCAGATTTGGCATGTTCAGCCCGCTCGCATTGGCGTAGAGGCGAAGGTTGCAGGGCTCAGGTCGCAGGCACACAAAGGCGCCAGCCGAACCAGCGGCGACGGCGAGAGCGAGGCAGGAAGCGAAAAGACAAGCAGCAAGAAGCAAGAAAACAGGCAGAATGGGCTTGAACGGGCCCCCGGAAGAAGAAAAGAAGCGCGCCTAAAAACCCGTGAGCACTGAGATCTAGGCCACACCAGCGCCTTGTGGGCAGTGGTGACGATGAGGGGCAAAGAAAGAAGAAAAAGGATTCCTTAGTTTACTTGTAGGGGGGCCACGTTCACATATACACTGATGACACTGGCCGCCGTGTTTGAGTCAGTTCGAAGGGGGCGACCGAGGGATCTTTGAGCTGCTTTTGTATCCTTTTTTTTTTTCTCTTTCTCCTCATCTGACGCCATCTAGGCTGAGTCTATCGTGAGCAGTGCCCTTCTCTTGCTGTCTGAAGAACTCCCACGCTGCTTATCGTCTAGGGAGTGGGCTTTGACACAGGCCAAGCACCTCCTGATAGCAGACGCTTAGAAAAAGCTTGCTGCCATTGGGCTGCAGGGGCCGCCGCTGGTTGATCCTATCCTGTTCCTGGACCACACCACCAACCATAAGCAGAGAAGCACCTCTTTTGTGTCGCCAGTGCAGCGTCTGATAAAGCTAAGCAAGCCTCGTCTCTTGTCGTCAAACACCGACACACCCTCCACTGCTGCCCCAGTGACAGCTGATATGGTCGACATGGCCCTCGTGATCAGGGACATTTTTGAGTCAAACAATGAATGCATGCTTTCGTCTTGACCGCTTTTATCACTTTGAGAACCCATTTGCGGAATGCCCTTCGCCCGGGATATCGTCGTCTAACTCATGTCTACCTCCATGCCATCCCCATCTTGTCTATCTCTGCTCCCTCCTTGGAACTAATATGACCGGCCGAACATGCACCATGCCTCCGCTAGGTTGGAGCAATTTGGATTTCCGCACTTGGTCACTCCCTTCTCAATGCCTTCTGGTTGATCGAATGGAATGCAAAGACTCTTCGCGCCCATGCTTGGAGCTCGTTCGTCTTGAGGGACGCCGCTCTGTTCTTCCGCCTTACGAGCACTGTTCTCTTTGATCTGATCCTCGCATGCCTCTGTCAGGCAATGGGGCAAAAGGATGACATTCTTGTCGTTCAGGGCTGGAACAAAGTCATCCCAATTGGTCACTTTCTTCACGTGCGACTTGTATTTGGCGTCTGCGCGCTCGTACAGGTCTTTCTGAATGGTATTCAGCAGCCCCGGGACGGCAGAGTGGAGTTCGCTGATGGCAATCTGACTCTTGCTCTCGGCTTTCGGAAGGTCTCGTCGAGATGCGGTGACGAAGTGGCCCTTGCTCTCCCCGGGCCCGAATTCCAAACGAAGGGGAACGCCTTTCAATTCCCAGTCATTGAACTTCCATCCCGGAGAATATCCCTCTCGGAAATCCGCTTCTACTCGGACGTTGACGGCTCTGAGGACCTCCACCAGTCCTTCGATTTCTTTGTACAATGCTTCTCTCTCCTCCTCCGTGGTTTTGGCTGTCACTCCGACCGGCACAATGACGACCTGGACTTCGACAACGCGCGGCGGGATTACCAGGCCTCGGTCATCACCGTGGATCATGACCATCACACCAATGACTCGAGTCGACAGTCCCCAAGAATTCTGCCAGACATATAGCTGGTTCTTCTTCTCTTCCTCGGTCTTCGCGTTGGGATCTTGTACTGTGATGCCAAACATTTTACTGAAGTTTTGTCCCAAGCAATGCGAAGTACCTCCTTGAATCCCACGGCCTGTAGCAGGAATGTAACCTTCGACAGTGGTGGTGTACAATCCTCCCGCGAACTTTTCTTTGTCCGTCTTCCTCCCTTTGATAACGGGTACAGCCAAGAGCTCTTCGTAGATTTGGGCGTATAGGTCGAGAATCTCCAGGACCTCTTTGCCCGCCTCCTGTTCGGTCAGATGCGCCGTATGGCCTTCCTGCCAATGAAACTCCCGAGTACGCAGGAATGGTTGCGGGTGCTTGAACTCCCATCGGACAACAGAGTTCCATTGGTTGAGTTTGAGGGGCAAGTCACGGTAACTCTGGATCCATTTGGCGTAGTAAGGATACATGACAGTCTCAGAAGTAGGGCGAATGGCGATCTTCTTCTCTAACTTGGTGCTGCCTCCGTGCGTCACCCACGCCACCTCGGCTGCGAACCCTTCGATATGAGCCTTCTCACGATTCAACACGTCTTCGGAGACGAACAGAGGAAACGAGCAGTTTTTGACACCCATCTTCTTAATCCTTGCGTCAAACCAGGCTCTGACTTCATCCCAAATGAATTGCGACGCAGGTTTGAGGATGTAGCAGCCAGAAATATCGTAGTAGTCAAGCATGTCTCCCTTCAGCAAGACCTGCTGATACCACTCCGAGAAGTCGACGTCCTTGGACACATCAATGCCAATCAAAGCAGCTCCCTCCATCTTCTTTTTCTTTCCACCTGATTTCTGAGGAACTTTCGCTTCCGCTTTGCCAATCGGCTTTTCGGGAGCACCCTTTGCCTCCATCTTCAGTCCGGCTTCAGTCTTGGGCTCTTTCTCTCGGGTGGGAAGTTCGGTTTTAGAGGGGTTTCGAGAGTGGGACATTGCGCTCGTGAGCGACAGTGAATTTTTGAAGAGAAGGCAAAAGGGGAATGACTGAGAGTCAGTTGCGCCAGCGGCAATCACTCACCCCTTACTAAATGGCTTGTATATCCAGGAGTTGAGACTTGTCAGGTGCGTGACTCCTGTGTGACTCCGTCGCACGAGCAGATGCCAGATGGCAGGGACAGACCCCATTTAGAACCCCGCCAACGACCAAAATTGTATTCAGGTCACGTGGACAACTGTCAACATATTTGCTTGGCATGTTTGACGAGATCCGCGACCCGAGCGACCTTGGCGATTGTACTCGCCGACACCGAGTCGCTTCAACAACGAGTGTCCTTCTTCGTGTACCTTTCAACCGCGCATCAACGACACCTGACTCTCATCTATTTCGCTCATGCTGAACGTTTAGAATATGAGCAAACACCTTCATTATGCGGTTCACACAGAGGGAGAATCTAGGAAGAGCGGCCGGGCATCAGGGACATCCCTGACCACAGAAGATTCTTTTGCTGACGGTGATCGGGGTCAAGGTCAAGGTCGAGATCGAGGTCGAGAGCAGTGACACAAGATGCCTGGGCTAATCAGCCCACCGCGCATTGGCGTCCTTACTTTCTCAAAGGGTTATGTGGATGCGAACATGAGCTTATGGTCTCGCCAGGAATCCAGCAACACTGGACTTCCGTTAAGGTATGGTAAGCCAAGAGTTTTAAATTTCTAACGACGGTGTCTGGATGGATCAATTCTGGAAGCCAAAACCTCGCCTAGGCCGGCCGCCTTGCGTGATTCTCATTGCAGGGTTCCCGTCAGAGTCTACACCTCGGAAACGTGGATTTGGGCCGCCAACCTTGATGGCGAGTGCGACAAAATGCAAATTTCTTACGCCAAGGGATCGCAGAGTGGCAGTCCGGCTAGGTAACTCTAGAACAAGCTGAAATGAAGTCGATGCTGGTGCAGGGAACGTATCGGAAGCTACACGACGCACGAGCATGAGAGAAAGGGCGCAGCACAGGCGGATTTCTATGCCAAGCATGCCAAGAGAGCGGAGACCCTCCCTCGACGCTTCGGGGACCAGTCATACTGCTCCCTTCGAGAACGTGCTCGCCTCCGCTGTATCTTGTGTATATCAAGTTCACAGACAAGCCCGCCCCGAGTTGCAGCCAAGTCTTCTGGAAGGCGTGACAAGAGCGTGAGAGCGGCTTGAACTTGCTTCTTTTGCATATGACAGTGGGTTATCGGTTCTTGGCATTTGCTTCGTCTCCTCTCGCGGGACAACACGAGAAGGAACACGACCAACCCAGCCCTTCGGACGCTCTGAAATGTGGAATTGACCTTGCCCAAAGCATGTGCCATTCCGATCTGCTGATGGGCCGGTTTGGCCTGTGGCGCTGGAAGAAGAGAAGAAGGAAAGTTACACGGATACCTACCCGGCGGCCAAGAGCATCAATTCTGCAGTTACATTCAACAGCGCCCAGCGCTGGATCAACATAAAAGCTGTGTTCTGCTGTCCGTTCTTTGCTCTTGGCCAGTCTCCGAGCAACATCAACATTTCTCGTCAAGGGAGATCTGCTCAGTCTTCATCAAGATGGCACGACTCTCTCAGTACGATTACGTCTTCGCCATTGGCACCCTGTTTGCTCTGCTTGATGCCTACAACAACGGCGCAAGTAAGTAACCTGTTTCTGTCTCTGCGGCTCATATGGGTGCTGATCAGTTTGTTAGACGATGTAGCAAACAGCTGGGCCACCAGCGTTTCTTCCAGATCCGTGACATACCAACAGGCCATGGTCCTTGGTGCTGTGTTTGAGATGGTTGGAGCCATCACTGTCGGCGCCAGAACCGCATCCACCATCAAGAACAAGATCATTCCCCTCTCTGCCTTCCAAGACAACGCTGGTGTTCAGATGCTTGCATTCACTTGTGCGCTGGCAGGCGCATCTTCATGGGTCATGTGGTGCACACGACATTCTGCCCACGTCTCATCGTCCTACTCGCTCATCTCGGCCGTCGCCGGTGTGGGAGTCGCGGTCGCTGGAGCCTCTCAAGTGGAATGGGGCTGGAATGGCGGCCAGGGCCTGGGCGCAATCTTCGCTGGCTTGGGATTGGCTCCTCTCATTTCCGGCGGGTTTGCTGCAACAATATTTATGCTCATCAAACTGGTGGTGCACATTCGAAAGAACCCGGTGCCCTGGGCCGTTTTTACCTCGCCATTCTTCTTCCTTATCGCCGGCACTGTTTGCACACTATCCGTCGTCTACAAAGGTTCTCCGAATCTTGGTCTGAACAAGAAGCCCTCGT